AAGGTTTGAGGAACAGTGTTCACTCTGATATCTTACAAATCATGTTACATAGGGAAGAGCTGCTCTTGCCTTCACTGTATGGAATCCTTCTGTTGAGGCCCTCTAGTTTTGATGATCTCATATCCTGTAGGTTTCTCATCTCCCCTACCACCCCTGGATGATTCTAGACATTGTTGGTCCAAGGGATGAATTTCAAAAGTGTTGGGGGAAACTGAAATAGATTGAGACAAAACTATCCTTTCTTTTCCTTTGAAGCCAATCAGCTCCTGTGTTCCAAAATGAGTTACTTCCAAATACATGACTGTCATTGGAGAATTACTCCAAGGATGGGTTGTGAAGAGGGAGCATGGGCAGACTGGATGGTCAGGACCTAAGCTCTCAGAAGGCAGAGCTGTTTAACTCCTGATTTCTCCATGAGGAAAAAAAAGGAAGAGGAGTTGGAGTGGGCAGGCTCTTGTTGAGATATCCCAACATGTTATAATGTCAGAAAGTACCTCAGTGAGGCATTCTGGGAAAAATGTAAAGAGCTTAATTGATGATAATGGTCTTAATGAGTGTGGTCTTTAAGCTTTCCCATTTCTTATGGATTCAGAAAAGACCTACCCCCTTTAGAGGTGGGGGGGGCATCTGACTTGCTTTCAACTATAAGAGAAGAGTACATGTAGGACGTACAACTTTCTGGGAGAGACTTTACCCTGGCTCCTTCCTGTTGTGATTATCATAGATGTGTGTGTAGAGAAGGGCTCTCTCCATCCATCCAAGTCACAGAGTGATGACAGGGGCAGCTCTCCTGATGTCATGTAACAGACATGTAACTTGACAGAGAAGGCAACCTTTGTTGGCCAAGTCACTTTTGAGGGGGTTAAAGCAGTACAGCCCTGCCTATGTTACTGATAGGGGACAACTCAGAGGAACATTGAAAAATCTGGGACAGCAAAGCCATGACCTTGAAAATTCTGGCACTAACAAAAATTGTTTAAGTGCTGAAATATACAACAGAGATTATACTTATGGGAAGAATGTAAACATTATAAAACTTAAAGAAATTAGAAGTATCAATGAAATGTGAATTAAGGAAGAAATTAAATATAGTTCTTTTTATGTTTATAGTGGGAATTCGCATCATCTATCATTAAAAACTGTCATTTGAACCCAATGATACGGTTTCTTTTTCATGTTACACTTTGAAATTTTTAGCCTTTATGTTTATGTGTATGAGTGTTTTGTTTGCATGTAAATATGTGCAGCACATACACACCTGGTGCCTAAAGTGGCCAGAGAGCACACTGGATCCCCTGGGACTGGGATTGTTGATGGTTGTGGGTACTAGGAATCGAACATGGTCCTCTGGAAGAGAAGTCAGTGCTCTTAACTGCTGAGTCATCTCTCTGTTCCTACACTTTGAATTTTTAACCAAGAAAATAAATTTTCTTTTCTTCTTTCTTTCTTTCTTTCTTTCTTTCTTTCTTTCTTTCTTTCTCTTCCTTCCTTCCTTCCTTCCTTTTTTTTTTTTTATTAGAATTTTCTTGCTGGGCCTCAAACCAAGGTCTTATGCATGCTAGGCAAAGTACTTCACCATTGAACTCCATCCTCATGCCTGTAAATCCTTGATTTAGAAATGTATCACTATGTCTAATGATGAAAGGAATTCAGCAAAATTCAGTAGTTTTTTAGTTCTACTTTTCTTGTTAAAATAAAACTAGATGCCAACACTCTTGTCGTAGGGTGGCTTCTAGAAGCCAACTCAGGCATTAAATTTGAGTATTTCGGGTGGCACAGGGAGGAAGGCAGTATGATGGCTAGTTTTGTCAATTTGACAGAAGCTAGAATCACAGCAAGAGGGGCTGCTGGGAACACCTGTAGGGGATTTTCTTGTGTTCATTGAGATTCGAAGACCTGTCCACTGCTCGTGGCTCCCTTCCCTGACTGGGATCCTAGACTATTTAAGTAGAGAAAGGAAGTTGCATGCATCCATTGCTCTCCTTGACTGTGGATGCAATGGAACCAGCTCAAGTTGCTGCGGCAAACCTCCAGACAGACTGTAGCCTGGACCTGTGAGCCAAACAAACCCTTTCTCTCTTAAGTTGCATTTGCCAAGATACTGTATCACAACAACAGAGGAAAGAACACTGAGATGGGAGGGGTCCCAGGAGTCACTCTCTGGCAGGAGTGTAAAGTAGGAGAAGGGTATAGACACAGGACATTAAGGAGAAAATGATCATTTTGGATAAGTGGGCTTTAAACCTACTGGGGTGCCTGTTTTAGGACCGCCCTTGTCCAGATGGCAAGGATACTGTTTTTCCACCGACTTCACCCATCCATGCCCCCGTCCCGCCCCAGTTATTGACTGCATGGTTCCTTCTCCTACCTCTGTAGGCTACTCCTGGTCCTGTAGCCAGAGAGACATCATACGTCCTAAGAGAAACTGTTGAACTTTAGTGGGAGGGTGAATGCCTTCAGGGAAAGGCATCAACAACACCAAGTAAAACCTTTTGGAGTTTAAAAAGCTTGCATAGTATATTAGCATCAGCTGAATTATGCTAAATTTAAAAAGCCAACCTCAAAAGACTACATACCGTGTTATTCCATTCACATGAATTTCTAGAAAAGCAAAAAAATTGACAGAAAGTCATCTTGTAGTTGCCAGGAGCTGGGAGTGGGGGATGGGATGGCTATGGTGAGTGAGGCAGTACTGTACTAAAAGACAAGTTTCACTGTGTGGAGCTGTACCTAAAAATCCCAACATCAATAGCCTTAAAAACATGTCTGCATTATTTGCTGTTTCAAGGAAGAGGGATTGTTCCAGGGAAATTTAATAACTTCCTTCTAAAAACCAGACTATGAAATCAAGCAGAAGAGATGTGGCCTGAGTCAGAGATTAGGTCACAGGAAGCAGTGTGGTATTCTCTGTCTCTGTGTTCGCTCTCTCTCTTCACATGCTCTACCATGAGCAGTCCCGAGGAAGTCCCAGAGCCATGCGAAGGAGCCTCCTTAGAAATGGATCCTCCACCTTTGTCCTAGAGGAAGAGACAAAACCAGCCAGCTGAGTTACCTTCAGAGTCCTATCCCTTAGGACCTTGTACATAGGTGAAGAAGTCCTAATCCAAAATACTTAGAGCAGAGGTCTTTCCAATTTTAGTGTTTGGATTTAAGACTATTTGCATATTCCTAATTCAAAACCCCTAAATCTGAAACGTTCTAGAATGCTTCCAAGTTTGAAGCATTTCAGAGTTTTAAAATTGGTATTGTTATATTGCTGTGTGTAAAGCATGTGTACCACAGTGAACATGCCAGGTCAACCTTTGGGAATTGTTTGCCTCCTTCTACCTTTATGAGGGCTCTGGGAACTAAAAGGTTTCTAGACTTACAGCACGGTTGTCATCCTCCCCACCCCAATCAAGATTCTGAATTCCAGGTTACTCCATCTGTAGTAGAATTTTGTTTGTTTGTTTTAAGCTTTTGTGTATTGGGGTAATTTGCTATATATAGCAATAGGTAACTAAGACACTGACTAGAACTTTAATGCTCATTTTAAAAACTATGCATGGTGTCACATTAGTTTTGGAGAGATCAGTTTGGCATTATATCATCTAAAGTGAGAGATGGAGGTTTCTGGGTATGTTTCAAGGTGAATTTGGGTTTTCTTGTTTAATTATATTCAGAGACCCTTAAGATACTCATGCATACTAAGGAAAAGATAGACATGGTGGCTCATGCCTATAATCACAACTTAGAAATTTGAGGCCAGCTGAGGCTGCATAGTGAGTTCCAAGCCAGCCTGAATTACAGAGGGAGATTCTTGTCTCAAAAATTAAAAATCAGTCACATGTGGTTGATGGGGAATGTTCTGCATATGTATTTCTCATATTGGTTACTGAATAAAACACTCATTGGCTGATTGGCCAGACAGGTAGTGACATAGCTGGGCAGAATCAGTATACAAGCAGGGACAAACAGGAAATTACTCTCTTCTCTGCGGAGATGCTGAATGGTCACCATGTAGCAGGCAAAGGAGCTGCAGGTCTGTCATTCCCCAGTAAGCCAAGACCACCCAGAAATATATGCATTAATAGAAATGGGTAAAAAATTAAGGCAGAGCTAGCTAGTAAGAAGCTCAAGCCATCAGTCACAGCTTATAATTCATATAGTGCCCATGTGTTTCTTTAGGGCCCAAGGGCTGCGGGACCTGCCAGGCCATAAAACTGTTTACAATTGGTTTGAATACAAATGGCCCCCATAGTTTATGGGGAGTATCACTATTAGGAGCTGTGGCTTTATTGGAGAAAATGTGTCAATGGAGGCAGGCTTTGAGGTCTCATATGCTCAAGCCATGCCCAGTGTGACATTCACTTCCTGCTGCCTGCTGATCTAGATGTAGAACTCTCAGTACAGTGAGCCGTGGTGAGCCATGATGATAATGGACTCAACCTCTGAAGCTGTAAGCCAGTCCCAATTAAGCGTTTTCCTTTATAAAAGTTCCCGTGGTCATAAGTGTTTTTTCACAGCAATAGAAACCCTAACCATGACACCACACAGACAAGAGGCCCCAAGTTTGAATCCCTAGCACCCACAGCAGATAAAACCTGGTATGGTGGTACTCCTCTAGAGACAGGAGGAGTCCTGATACTTGATAGCCAGCTAGTCTTGCCAAATTAGTGAGCTCTAAGCTCAGTGAGAGAAACTTGTCTAAAAATATAAGGTGGAAAACAATAGATGAAGACAGCTGCCCCAACTTCTGGTACCAACCAACACTTCCCCCAAAGGGTACACTTGTACACATCATACACATATATTGGCTGGCGTGCGTGCGCGCGCGCGCGCGCGCGCGCGCGCACACACACACACACACACACACACACACACACACACACACACGCGCACGCACAATAAACTCATACACAAATGAGAATACAATTAGAAACATAAGCAATAACTTGGAGCCTGGGTGTAGGTGGTGATTGTATCATTTATCTGGGCCAGGTGTTTACAGGAAGCAGGCACACCACTCCTTCAGGCAAGTGGAGCTCTGGCGGGCTTCGTGCTCTGTGGCACCGCAACAGCAGATGATCCACCTCTGGAACTCTGCTTCATTCTTGTGCATCAGAAGGAACTGTCCCAGCAGGATGTAGGCCTGGGAAGAGGAACAGGTGGGAGGAAGACGAGGTTATCAGAATCTCACTCAGGTGTGCCTGTCCTCCTCCCACCTTCAGTACTCAGTTGAACCAAAGGTTGGGGTGGGAGGGGCCAGTCCTCAGGTCAACTCCTGACAAGCCCTGGAGAAAGGTGAGGTCAAGTTAATCACATGTGTCTCTCAGGCCTGCTCTAGGGACTGTCATCCTGCAGTGACGACTAGGCCTTGCCCTCAAACTTGAAAAAGTTCTCTGGGCTTTTGTAGTTTTGAAGTTTCTGACTCAGCGTCTAAATCCAGGGTGGGGTCCAAGGATGCCCATTTCTAATTGGCTCCCAGATGAGGATGGGCCAATGTCAGTGTTTTGAGGACCTAGTGGGTAGGTGGCTGGCAAACCTCTGAACTCCTTTTAGGCTTGTCATTTAATCTTTTCTTTGGTGGTGGTGGTTGTGGTGGTGGGTATATATGCACACACTGTGGACTAAATCTAGTAGCTTGCATGTGCTAGGCAAGTAATCTACCACTGATCTGTATCTTCAGTCCAAGAATTCCTTCTTCAAAATACATACAGAGCCAAGCTAGAGTGTGACTCCCTAGCCCACTGCTTTCTCAATGGCTGGAATATAGAGCACCTCAACCTCAGCACCACTAGCATACTGGATGATTCTGCGTTATGAGGACTGCCCTGTGCATTGCAGGACGTTTAGTAGCATCTATGCTATCCCCTGGATGCCAGTAGCACCTTCCCTAGTTCCCAAGACAGAAGCAATCATAAGGATTCCCAGATATTGCCAAGAAATCTTTCTTGCTTGAGAACTACTGCAGGTGTGGCTGGCCAGTGAAGGCCATGGTATCATCCATTTGGTTTTGCTAACTACCTGTGTGATCTTAGTAACTCAGTGGCTAGGAGAACCTGAGACACAGCACTGCCCTGCCCTACCCTCCCCTGCCCTGCCTTGCCCTGCCCACGTGTGTCAAATGGGATGGCAAGGGAAGACACAAATACTGAGGACAGTCATCCCCAAGGGAACAGCACAGACAGTATAAATCATCCTTAACCTTGACCCTCTTTTTCAAGCCTCAAACTGGAGCTGTATCACTGGATTCTCTCTCTCTCTATCTCTCTCTGAATGAGCTTTTCTGCTTCACAGACTGAGCAACAAGCTACCAATTTCCCTGTCTCTCCAGTCTGTGAACAGCCAAGGTGGAGCTCTAATTCTGCAAAATTAAATAATGAACAAATCTCCTCTAATAATTATATATATTCTCCTGGTCCTGTTTCTCTGGAAACTCCTGATAATATAATTTCCTGAGAATATCTGTGAATAAAAAAAACACATGAACAAAGTATAATGACACAGATGTATGAAAATGCCACCACAGAAGCCAGTACTTTGTATGCCAACTCTAAAACTTAATTTAAAAAATTAGAGACTGGGGAAAGGGCTCAGTGAGTAAGAATATTTTCTGTGTAACAAGAGGACTTGAGTTCAAGTCCCGAGAACCCCCATAAGAAGCTGGCTGTGGTCAAGCATGTACCTCTAACCCTAGCATTGTGGGCTCAGAGATTGCTGGGGCTTCATGACCCAGATTCAGTGAAGACCCTGTTTCAAGAAAGTGAGACAGACAACGGTAGAGCAGGGTAGTTGACATTCTACTCCAGCATGTCCACCCATATGCATGTAACACACATAACACACACACACACCAAAACAAAAAAGAAAAATGTAAAACACGTAGAAGGCACCCTGATTCCTGGTTCTCTAGTAATTTTGCAGTCATGAATTTTCTGCCTTCTTGCCCCCCACAGCTCTTACATCTTCACCAGACTGTTATTAGCAAGGACCAAGACAGTAGAACCATGCATGGAGATAGCCACTCCACGGCAGAGGCCAGATTTCAGGTCACAGTATATATCCATCTCTGGGGCCTGGCTTGAGGACTCTCTCTCTAGCGTGGAAGGAAGGGGACCCAACTTCCATCCACACCTTCAAGCTCTGGGCCCTTCTCAGGAAAACCTGCTGTTGGCTGTGTGTTGACTTTCCATTACATAAAACAAAGCAAATTTCATCTAAAGCTGAATCCTAGTCACAAAAGGTACTTGAGCATTAGAGTTTGTAGTTTTATCTTCTTTCTTTGTCGCAGAGCTGGGATAAATCCAGGGCTTTGCACACAGTAGGCAAGTACTCTACTACCGCCTTAGGGATTAATTTTAGATATTGTCATTGTTGAAAAGAGAAAGGAGCTATGCACTTGCAGTAATTTTAAGGAACAACTTTATTTAAAAACAGAGAAAACCCAGTGTCTTAGCACAATCTCATTTTTTAATCAGCACCCTCCCATTTCCACTGGTGGGTTTTGCTGAGATGGTTTTTAAATCAGTATTTTGAAGCACTGGCCTTCACTAAGTTTTCACTGAGGGCTGTGCTGTGGTTGTGGAAGTCTCTAGGTGAGAACAACAGGGTACCCTTAAAGAAGAAACATCAGTGAGATTTGTAACAACCCGCTATTAGACTCAGCTGCTTAGCTTTGCAGTAGAGTTCTCTCCAAGGCACAAGGTCCTTGATGTGGTCCTCAGCACCAGGAGGAAGAATGACAAATAACAAATGAAAGTTTTGTGCCCGTTGGCAGGCCACCCTATTAAACTAACCCATTTGATTCTCATGGATGCCCTGACCACCCTATTCTTTAGATAGTGTCCCAAACAAGGGATACCTGAGAGGTTGAGGCTCCCTCCTCCTCTGCCCACCGTGCTCTTCCATATTCCAGCCATCTGGAGACATAGTCTAGTCTGGAGACAAGGCACCCTCTGCTTCTGAGGCTGGTTACAGCCTCAGCTGGTGTGGTAATCAGAGCCTCTGCAGGCTGCAGGGCTCAGCAGCCAGGAAGCCCAGGAATGCGTGGCAGGCGGGACCCAGGCAAGCTTTCCAGGAACGTGGCAGGCGGGAGAAGGGTCTCTGAGCCAAGCTGCAATCTGAGCCTCTATCCTTCTGGGCTTTCCCTGGAGTCCCATGCTGGCATCTTCCAGAGAGCACAGAGACCGACTGCCTTTTCGTTCTATACTCGAGGGCTTCACATTGCTCCCCAGGGAAGGGGGAAGTCCAGTCCGTGGCACTTGTCATGGCCCTGTTCAATGCCTTTTTGGTGTCCCCACTACCTCCAGAAAATGAACCTCTAACTAGAAACCCTGAGACAAGTGGGGTAGTATAGAATTACAGACACCCCAGGCAAGTGTCTACCTTCTACCACCTTGGCCAGTGGCCATGCCACAGCCTGGGACGAACATTTCTTCCTGCAGTAACAGATGGTGGCTAAAGGGCAGACTTGCTCTCAACTCCAAGTCTGTACAGGGAAACTCTGCCAGGGTCTTCCCCCAAGCTGTGTGAACTGGTCTCTTATGACTAGTGTCCCTGTTAAACGGCAGCTATTTGAATCTGCACAGAGGCTGATCCATGTAGTTGCCTGGGACCCTGCATGCAGACCATCCATAGACTTCTTTTAATGCTATGATATCTTATTTACACATGATCTCAGCCCAAAGGCTGGGAAGTGATAAGCCTTAATACATTTAAACAAAAGGTCTCATCTTGTCATTCTGCATTGGGCCCTGAAAACTAGGTAGCTGGCCTTAATCTGCACTCATTAAAATGTTGTACCTTCATCATGGCACCTGGCCTTGTCAGACTGAGATGAGCTTTCGTGGCGTTTCTTATTATCAAACTTCTAGCACATTCCCCTGCCCTCGATCAGCACTTCCCAGGCCCCAGGACAGAGTGTACCTCCCATTGTTGTAAGACACTGCTGTGATTATATGATTTTTCTGGTTTCCTTTCAACAAACATGCATGCTTCAGTCTTCAGTAGACATGTCCAGGGGTGGCCTTGCAAACCCAGTGTTTCTCAGTCACTCCAGGCTTAAAGCACCAAGTCTTCGGTGTGAGTGCTCAGTCTACAGCAGGTTCTGGCCCTCCTTTCTCTTCTCTATGCCCCTGAGATATGCTCATATTGCTACCTTATTCATTTATTTTAAAAATTCAGCTTTCACTGGATCCCTTGTGTTTTATCTCACCACACTATGCAGAGTAACCTCCAAATTCAAGTGGCTGGTTTCTTGCAAGGTTCATATGTCAGATGGTAGGGTCCAGTGCCAGCAGAGAACAGGAGAAACCAGGTTTCTCAGCAGTTCAGCATTGAGAACCTGGGAACATAAGTAAGGAGGCAACTGGTAGTCCTGGGGCTTCCAGGTCCTGAGCTCAGCCTTCTGACCTCTCCAAGTTACAATAGAGTGATTTTGGGGTGAGACTGGCCATTTCAAGGACCTTAAGTTGGAAGAGGGTGTGTCCATAGATGTTCATGCTCACAGTCTATGTGTGGGTAGCAGTGAGTAGGGAGACAGAGCTCCAGCCTGTCCATGGCATGTCTAACACCACGTACATGATAGATTTTTCCACTCATATTATCCCTTTCTACCCAGCAGCTCTCCTGCCACTGTTAATTCTTGACCAGTGCTGTCCAGGAGAAATAATAAGTCAGCCATGTAAGTAATTTTAATGTTCTAGAGGCCACAGAAGGAATAAAGCTGAAGAAAAAAGATGAAATGCATTCCAATAATGTACTTTATTTTCTTCCATATTTTCAAATTATTATTTCAGTATGCAATCAATAAAAAATGTTAAGAGATGTTTCACATTCCTTTTTGGGGGAAGGTTTCAGCATCAAAGAGCATGTTTGATATTTTTAGCCCATCTCCATGCAGACAAGGGCTTAGCAGACACAGGGCCAGTGGTGACCATTTTGCATTTAGGTCCTCAGGCCAGAGTTGATTGCCCCAGTGAACAGCAGGTGTTGAGCAACCAGAAAGACCAGTCACATTTTTTGGCCTCTGAGCCCCTGAAGAGGTTCAGGTGAGTCAATAGTTAATGTTTTCTTCTTTAAAAATCCCCATACATACATACACCATACACACACACACACACACACACACACACACACACACACACACACACACACACCATATGTGAGAGAAAGGAGGGAGAGAGAGAGAGAAAGGAGAAAGAGAGAGAGAGCGAGCAAACAAGTGTAGAAGGCACGTGTGTGTGTGTGTGTGTGTGTGTGTGTGTGTGTGTGTGTGTGTGTGTGTGTGTGCACCTATGAGCCATAGCACACAGGTGTAGAGGTCAAAGGACAACCTCAGGTGTCAACCATTGCCTTCCAGTTTGCAACAGTCTTGTTTGCCACTGTGTAATACAGGAGTCTCCCGTTTTTGCCTCCCAGCTTGCTGTATGCATGTATTAGAGACATTTGCTATCACACCAGGCTTTATGTGAGCTCAGGGGATCATACTCAGGCATGGCAAATAATTTACTCCTTCAGCCATCTTCCTAGCCCATGTTTTCTTTTTGAAGTCAGGCTTCACTATGTTGCCCAGGCTGGTTTTGAATTTATTGGCTGAAATAACTGTCTTGTCTCAATCTCCCGGGTCATTGAGACTGCAGGCACACACTCCTGCACCCTGTGAATCATAGTATTAAGAATCATGGTTTAACCATGAGGGGTAGACCAGTAGTCTGTCTGCTTTAGTCAAGGCTCTGGGAGTAGAGGAGGGGACACTCATTCCCCTTCTAAAATGCCAGCCATTTGCTGGAGAGATGGAAGCTCAGCACAGGCAGGGGAGAAGGTGCTAGAAGGACTGGTGAGAGTTAGAGAAAATATCTGCTCAATTCAGGCCACACCTCTAGAGAGGTGATAGATGGGTGGGGGCTTCCTTGCTGACTAATTAATGACTTCTTGTTCCCTGTGTATTCAGCTTTCTGGTGACTCTGGAGAGAGCTGGTGGCCTAGTAAAGAGCCCCGGGTAAGCAGGTGTGAGGGCAGCCCATGAAGCTGCCTTCCACAAGGTATATAGCAAGGGCACTGAAGGAGCTAAGAGAGCCAGTGCCCCTGGGAAAATGCTGAGAATGTTTTGCAAACAAGTATGCCCCCCCCCAGGCAATGTTTACTCAGGGCAAAGATGAGAACTCAGCCTGGGGAGAGAAGAAAATGATGGTTGCACCTCAATGGAGGCTGGTAAAGACAGAACAGGACGGGATGAGGCCCTGAAAGACCCCTCCTTGTAGGTTCCCTGTGGGCAGAAAATAAGTACCTCACGGGCTGCATTTTCATTAACTAGCCCTGAGATCCCTGACTTATGTAGTCTTCTTATCCTAGATGCTGTCATTCTGGCTGTGCCCACAGAGCCATCAGCATCCTGATGCATTTGTTCATCTTGTAGGAGACACACCCGGACATCTTCCTGGGTAACTCTTATGGGCCCAGTCAGGGTCTGTCTGATGGGTCCCAGGAGCTGATGTGGAATATAACTACCAAATCTTTTTTTTTTTTTTAACTACCAAATCCTAACCTAAGCCCCTTCCTGCTGGGTGTGTGTGTCTTCTTGTGTTGTTTATGACAGTACAGCCTATGGCCATTCTCATTCCCCCTGGGGACCTCAGAGAGGCAACTCCCGAAGCCTTTGCTCTGCATTTTTCTTTTACCTGATTTTATTACTTTGTATTGTGTTGTATCCTGTTGGAGAAGGAACCCAGGTTCTCTCAGGTGATGGACAGCAAGAGCACCCAGTCATACCTGCCATGCCTCCATTTGCTCTGATCTCCAAAGGTAGAGAAACTCAAAACAAAGGACAACAATTACCAGTCCCCACCAGTGTCAGGAGTCAGTAGCTCTGGGAATGCTAGAGGCCTTGATTGGAATGCTGGACACTGTGCTGGCTAGTTGGTCATGAGCATAAAGAGAGAGAGAGCTCTTGTCTGTGGACCAAGATGTCCATAGGTACTCCTTATTGTCCTGAATGTGCAGGTCAGAGTCAGAAACCTGAAAAATGTCCGTTTATTCATTCATTCTGTCATCTCTACCACATCTGTCTCTCTACCTATAATCCTTACTTAGAACAGAGTTGAGCTGGAGAAGGCAAAACGACAGGCCACAAAACAAAGCAGAAGTTGGCCTGCAAAGAGGATGCTGAATTTCAAGGCACAGGGAATGGCTGGAGAGTTGGGTCACTCTTTGTTTTGTGTAATGGCCACCCTAGCATGCATTTGTAGAAGCTCACAGAACTGCTGTGTGTAGTGGCATATGTCTATAACATACAGGAAAATGAGGTAGAAGAATAACAAATTTGAAGCTAGCCTAAGCTACACAGCGATGCTAAGGCCAGCCTGAATCCCACAGTAAGGTCCTATCTCCAGACAAAAGTCATAGAACTATGTGATAAAAAGGGACAAAGTCACTGTACACAATTACACCTCTATAAGAGTATTTTTAAAATTGTGAGCATAAAGGAACAACACAATTGTGGAAACACAGTAGATAGCAGAACCATGGGGACCTTTGGAGATGGAGTTCACTTTGGCTGAGTGCAGGTCTCAGAGGCCATCTGGGAGCTGGGAGGTGTCCAGTCCCAGGACCTAGGTGGTAGGTATATGGGCATATCTATCTATGTAAAATGCACTGTGTCCAACACTTCATACTGTGTGTACTACACACAGTAGAGGAATGTGTTGCTTTATCTTCATTCTCAACATGTCTGGATTTAGAAATCCCCTAGGAGACACACCTCTAAGCTTGTCTGTGAAGTTGTTTTAAGAGAGAATTAATGGAATGCAGGATGGCCCACCTGAATGTGAGTTGCACCATCCTATAGACAGAGTAAAAGAGGGCAAAGGAGGAAGCCAGATGAGTGTGTAGGCATTCTCCTTCCCCTGCTTCCTAGCTGTGTCATGGACCATGCCTTCCCCACCATAATGACTATGTGACTTTGAACTATGAGCCAAAACAAACTTTCCTTCCTTAAGTTGCTTTGTGTTAGGTATTTGGTCACAACCAGGAGAAAAATAACCAATTCAAAAAATGAAAATAATAATAATTTCCTTAAATAAAAATATATTTAATTAAAAAATTCTCCCATAGTCAGATTTGCCTGCTTCACTTAGCTGCTTGGGAATGGTCCCTTTATCAAGGAAGAAAG